TTGTTGTGAAAGCAAGCATGTTTACAATATGGGCTATCCCTCTGTTTTCATTATGGGCTAGTGGCCCATATTTAGAACAATGTAAAACATACTTCAATTGTTTCAGAATGTCAAAACAACAACTGCAAAAAGATAAAAACAGAACAAAATGTGCTGAGAGATATCGAACGTGCAATTATAGCTGTCAGGCAGCACGAAATGGGTACGCTGGAAGCTGCAAAAATGTTTAATGTACCACATTCTATGCTGCAACGTTTTGCAAGACAACTTATACTAAAGCCAATTAAAGCTGCTCAAATAAAGTTAGGGCGAAAAGCTGTCTTAGGGAATGATCTTGAGGGCGACTTAGTTCGTTATATTATTGGGAATTGAATATTTTATTTATTTATTTATTTATCGTATGGCATATAATAAGAACACACAATTAAAAAAATCAATATAAAAACTACACGGGTTGGGGTGTAAAGCTAGTTCGCGTCCGTAGTAGAATACTACACGTGCACCCTGGGTAATGCTAAATGAACTAGCGCAATAGGCAGCCAGACAATCTATTATTTCTAGATCTCCTGGCAAGAACACATCACGAATATAAGATTGGGAATTGAAAGCTAAATGTCACGATATAAACAGAAAAGATCTAAGGGGGATGGCGTACGTCCTAGCTTCCAGGAACAATATCAAACATCCGTTTGGAGCTATCAGTACGACGACCATCAGGTACATCATATTCACGAGCAAGAGGATTTTGGGTACAAGGTTGTACCCATCTAAATGTATCTTTAATATAGACGAAATAGGCCTTACCGTTGTACAAAAGATTGCACAGGTAGTAGACCGAAAAAAGAAATGACAAATTGCATCATAAACTTCTGCTGAAAGTGGATCTCTGATAATCATTGTTATATCGATGAGCGCTGCTGGCCAATTCATCTCACCAATAATGATATTCCTACGTAAAAATATTAATTAGCAACTGATGCAAGGAGCTCCTCTAGGTTCTATTATGGCAGTACATTCTAGGGGATGGATACAAAGCAATATTTTTACTTTATATTTAATAAAGATGGTTTCAACATTTCAGTGACACAGTCAAACCCACAGAAAAATCACCAGTCCTGCTTGTTATGGATGGTCATTACAGCTATACACGTAAGATAGCAATCATAGATTTAGCTAGAGATAATCATATCACTATAATTGCCTTGTCTTCCCATTAAACCCACAAAACTTACATGGGTGTTCTTAAGCTTTATTACAGCGAAGAGATCAACAATCCACTGGATGCATTTGATGTTCAGAGCTCTTTGAGATAGCTTATTTGAAATGCCAAACTGGAGAGATTGTCGTTATTGGATTTAGAGCTTTATGAATTTATTCGTTGAATAAAAACATATTTATATATGTCAATTTTATGGCAGCTGAAATTGAAGCAAAAATTTCTTCGGCAGTTGCACTTGATGATGCATGTGATGAAGATGATAAGTGGGAGGCACTTTTGCGGTTAACATACTATTACAAATTATATACAAAAATACCGTGACCAAAGAAAAGATGTATTTGCATATAACAATAGCAGAGTACAGCATATAACATTGATGCAAATACTGAAAAGTATCGGAATAGATGACAAGGATATTCGTGTCATTAAAAATTTGTACTGAAATTAAACTGCTATCATAAAAAAATGAGTCAGGCAAAATTGCATTTTGTCGCCTACATTGTTCAATTATTACTCGGACCAGTTATTTAAAAAGGCACTTAAGAAACAACCTTATGGAATAAAAATCAACGGGGAACTACTTAATGTGATTAAATGTGCAGACGATACAGTTATTCTGTCTGATATTATTGAAGGTCTCCAAATTCTGCTTGATCGTATTCACGACATAGGAGAGGAAATGGGCATTAAAAATAAACTCAAACAAAACCAAATTTTTAGTGTTTATTTGTGACCCACATCCCGATGCAAAGCTTCAATTAAACGGAGTCTAAGTTGAGAAAGTCACAAAATGACATATTTGAAAACTGTGATAACGGACTTACTAGATCCGGACATAGAAATAAAATGTAGAATAACAATGACTAAAACTACTTTTATGAAAATGAAGTCATTTCTTTGCAATAATCATCTCAGTTTATAAATAAGACAAAAAATGGTTAAGTGCTATGTTTGGTCCGTACTTTTGTATAGTGCAGAAGTGTGGACGCTAAAAGTATCGATCATGAACAAAATTGAAGCATTGGAAATGTGGGTTCGTAGACGAATTCTGAAGATACCTTGAAAAGCAAGGAAAACTAATGAAGAAGTACTAAGAAACGTCAACAAAAAAGCGAACTGCTAAAGACTATTAAACATCGAAAAATGTAAAATTAATGGGAAAAACCCCGTAATTGGCTGTATACCATCGTTTAAAAAAACACAGAAGTTAAAACACTTCACAAATGTGTATTTAGGTATAAAACAAACAAGTTAAAACTTTTTAAAAAAGTGTCGTCACATTTAAAGTTCTGGCAGAACGTTTTCGATCACTACGGATCATCTTCAGTGCCTGTATTTGTTGCTAACTATAAAATATGGTGTCTATAAGACTACCATGTTTGATTTGGTAAAGTGTCACATTTTACATTAGGTAATGTTGATACTGTAGGTCGATGACAATGGATGTATTAAAATTTATTACTTTAGGGACTACATGTCTCCTAAGCTCGAGTACTTGCACGTTGTCAGTTGAAGCGACGACACAGACCAAATGTCTCAGACAGACATTTGGTCTGTGTCGTCGCTTCAACTGACAACGTGCAAGTACTCGAGCTTAGGAGACATGTAGTCCCTAAAGTAATAAATTTTAAATACATCCATTGTCATCGACCTACAGTATCAACATTACCTAATGTAAAATGTGACACTTTACCAAATCAAACATGGTAGTCTTATAGACACCATATTTATATAGTTAGCAACAAATACGAGGCACTGAAGATGATCCGTAGTGATCGAAAACGTTCTGCCAGAACTTTAAATGTGACGACACTTTTTTAAAAAGTTTTAACTTGTTTGTTTTATACCTAAAATACACATTTGTGAAGTGTTTTAACTTCTGTGTTTTTTTATCGAAAAATGTCTCATCTGGGACATATAGTAAGTGGAAGTTGAGATGAAATATTACAACTGATCCTTAAAGGCAAAATAGATGGCCGTTGAGGTGTAGAAAGAAATCAAGTTTCTTTGTTAAAAAACATTCGTGAACGGACTGAGATATCAAATGTAGGACAATTATTCCATATTGCTGAAGATCGAGGAGTCTTCGTAATGGTGATCGCCTACGTCGGATATTTCTGATATGGTATGATACGAAATCCAAAGACGTATTACTTTAGCGTGGGCAGCCTTTGGAAAACTGCGAGACACACTTAGGGCCAACAAAGCAATTAGCCTCAAACAAAAAGTTTTTGACAAGATGCGTATTATTGGTCATAACCTATGTTGCGAAAAATATGACTCTAACCAAGACTACAACTTCAAAATTGAGAGTGGCACAGAGATAAATGGAACGATCCATGCTGGGAGTGACGTTGCGGGACCGAATAAAAAACGAAGATCTGCGAAGAAGGACGAGTATTGCTGATGTCGAACGCATAGCGGAACTTCAATGGAATTGGACAGGCCTTGTAGCGAGACTGCATGACTCACGATGGACGAGTAAAATTACACATTGGAGGACAAGAGCAGATAAACATAGTAGAGGAACACTACCTACACATTGGACTGACGACATCAGGCATATCACGAAAAATTGGTAACAAAGAGCACAAAATCGCTAAGCATGGAGGAGTTTATGAAAGGCCTATGTCCAGCAGTGGGCGTGATAAATGAAGACTGGATGATGATAATGATGATGATGATTTATTATGTCAGTACAGGAATTCTAGCATAGTTTTGAATTTCCCAAACCTATAAAAGTAATGGGGGCCTTTCATTGGTGCCTATAATTATTAAAACTTAAAACTTTAATATTTTTTGTAAGTTAATAATCGTTTCATGCCGTAAAATTAATAATGGTAAGTTAAACTTTAAGTGTTATCTTCCTGTTTGGCTCTTTCCTTGGTTGAATGTATATTCCATATATAGTGCTTTACTAGTTCAATTATACCAAATAAGTTCAAGATATTAAAGTACTTATTTTTAAAAATATGTAAAAATACTTTTCTAAAAGTCTATCATGCATTTTAAACTGCATTAAACTCTAACGGTCTGTCCTATATGATTAGTAAAACTTTTAATTGGACGAAGTTTACTTCATTTTAAAACTAAATAAAAGTTTATACAAGACCTCGTTTAGAGTTTTACGGCAGTAATGCATTTACCTTTGTAGGGGCAGCTTTAAAGTTTAACTTAATTTTTATAACACAATGCAATATACTTTATAAAGTTATTTACCTATAAAATATGACTCTAGATTAAAGACTTGTAATTAGGTCACAAAATGGACTTTAGAAACTTATTTGGCATTAGCGGAGTAAGATTTTTGGCGGAATAATATAGCTTTATTACATATACAGATATAATAACAGAACACCGAAAGTGAGAGAAAAAAGTTTACACGGTACAAAACTGAAAGATATAAATTTCACCTTTTATTCCAACCAAGTTTTAAAAATGTTTTTAAATCTAGATTAGAAAAGGAACTACATGAAATGAAAAGAAATGTAGATGTTGAACAAAAATACAACCTCAAAACGATAATAAAAAAATTGCTTATGAAGTATTGGAAACAGAGAACAACGATAAAAAACACCACGAACCAGCAAAGATGACAGAAAACATAAAAGAAATGAAACAAGGAAAAAACAAATTCTTGGATTATCATATCACAAAGTTTCTTATTTTTGAGCAAAATATAATATTATATCGCACATTCACACCAACTTATTTTAGAGAGCCCATTGGGAAAAAACAAGTTCTAGGAAATCCCATTCTAAACAAAATCTCACAGTCTTACCATCCGCTAAGATTTCTATTTTTCATATTGGTTCTTTTTCTTAATCTGATATTTATTAAGTTTTAATAGGCTTTATTAAAACTTTTTTGGCAACGTAGTATTTGTAGTTAAATGAGTATATTTGCGTACCTCAGAGGTAAAGGACACTATGTCCATTTTTATCGAAATTTAGATTATTGCACTTTTGAATATAACTTTTCTGGCTCTACACATAGGTAAACCATACTATGTCCAGAGAAAATTTTACGGCAAGTTACCGACTTTTTAATAAACACCAAGTCCACTTCCAGTCAGAGGTAAACAACACCATGTGGACTTGGTGTTGTTTACAACCTCTAGTAAATGTGTGCATTGTCATAGTAAATGTGTGCATTGTCATCACAAATGTGTGCATTGTCATAGTAAATGTGTGCATTGTCAATAGTACCTCTAGTAAATGTGTGCATTGTCATTTACCATCCGGACATAGTGTTATGTACCCTTGTACCTGAGGGAATTGTCATGAACTAAAATCATTGCAACCTTTTTATTTAGATCGCAATTGTATTAGGTTGATAAAAGTTGTACAATAAGTTCGTTGTTTAATAATTGTAAAATGGATCCGAACTCTCGTGGAAAAATAATATTACAATTACTGTCATGTAATATTCCAAATATAACAACACTTACAGGTAAGTTATTATTTTTTAACACTGATTTTGTATTTTTCTAATTTCAAATATTTAGTATTGTATATTATTTTGTATAGGGCTCAGAATTTCAAACTGTACATATCTTTTTTCTATCTACCGTTAAAATAGAAGTATCAGTTAGTATGTTCTTGTTACTAGTAAATAATTTCGTCTGTTTTTTTTTAATGACCATAATATGGTATGATTATTGTCAGTTATTTATGTAACATGCATTGCCATTTATGTTATTGTGTTGTAGGCATAGACAGGAATTTACCAAGCAATTATCAATATATACTCGTATGAACAAAATACTACAAGAGATTGGGTAAAATTTATTTACTGTTAGGCGTAACCGGTACCCCAAAAATTATTGTTGTTGTTGATACCAACAGATTAGGGTAAACAAATGTTGCCAGATCTATATTTTTTTAATGGAAGTAATGGAAATTGCTCAGTAAATTCCGGTCTTTGGTTATAAGGATTATTTTTGTGTTGGCCAATTATAGGCCTAAAAAATTAGTCTATAATTATTATTACAAGGCTGGATTTGTTTCAGAACCACCTGGTCACTACAGTAACTTCCAAGGTAATGGTAAGGAAGTTGACGAAGATGATAATTTGTTTGGAGATGATAATTCGGATATTGATATAACCTATGAACCTCTAAGCTCAGAATAAGACGACAATGATATGAGACGTATAAGTAAACCAGCAAAAACAAAGGTCAAAGAGGAAGCTATTATTACTCCTACGACCAGTGTGGCAATAACAAAAAATCTTCTTAAGGACGATTTATTCCTAAGCAGTGATGCAGGCAATTCCAATGTACATAATGAAGTTATTTTAGAAGAAGAGAAAAGTGTTAAAAGAAAGGTACAAAATGTAACTAAGTGCAAACAAAAGGGCAAAAAACGTGTAGTAAATGAACAAAATTGGGTCTGTATGTTCGCAAATCAAAAATAGCTGGTGGGAAAGAGTATCTCAGTAAAAAAGGCAAAAACATGCCTGCAAAAATGTTAAAGCTTCCTTGCATGTGTCGCATGAAATGCTCTAAAAGATTGCCAGAATACGAAAGACAAAAAATTTTCAACTCATACTGGACTGAGACAAACGTTTCAGATGTTAAAAAGCAATTTATCTTCTCATGTTTCGACATCCAACCTACTCATTGATTAACAAAAAAAGACCTAAATTCTACCAAATCTAAAAATAATACACTACACTACCATTTTACAGTAAACAATCAGCGATTGAGGGTGTGCAAGGTTATTTTTTCAAACACAATTTGTATATATAATTTAGTAGTAGTAAATATGTTGAAAAAAATTGAGCCAGGAGGTTTAATAAAAGCTGACCAAAGAGGTAGACACACGCTAATCAATAAATCTCCTACCGAAACCATAAATAGTATACATCAACATATTAAATCATTCCCAAAATGCGAGATTCATTATTCCAGAGAAAGGAGTAAGAAAGATTATCTTGGCACAAAACCTGCGATAGAAAAGTTGTATCAACTGTACTTTGATGAATGCAATGAAAGACATGTATATCCAAAGCTCAGTAGTAAAAAAGTAATGCGACGCAGATATTTTTAATAAAGATTTCCAAGTTTTCGTTTGAATACTTGGAAACCAGAAATAGACACTTGCGATACATGCAGTACATTCACAGCTCAATTGAAAAATAATCTTACTGCAGATGAGCTAACCAGTGTACAGGCTAATCATGATACTCACCTAATTGAATATTAAACTCGGTATAACTTTAACAATTGGACTTTTTATTGGCTAAAGAGTCACCAAAACACAAATTACTATCTTGTGATTTATAAAAATGTTTGCTTTCACCACTAACAAACAATTGTATTAGTTTCTACAAAAGGAACCTTTTGTAGAAGCAGTGATTCTTCTGTACAATGTATGATGTGGGACGAATCGAAAGGGTTCCGAGGTGCAAATGAAATTGCCTCGTGAATTTTGAAATGGACTGACAATACAATCCAGGTAGTCAAGTAAAGGACATCACTTTTTGGACCGATAACTGCTATGGACAAAATAAAAATATAAGTGTTATAATGTGCTATTTTTGGATACTGCGTATATAACCTCAACTAAAGACGATCACTCAAAAGTTTTTACTGAAAGGGCACACACATATGGAAGCAGACAGTGTTTATGCTTTAATCAAGAGAAACAAAAAGAAACTCTCAAATTTGGTCATTTTAACACCATGGAACTGGCAACAGCTAGTTAGGCAAACATCAGGTAAATACACAGTGCACAATATGGAACTTGCAGATTTTAAAAACTTCAAAACGCTGTTCGATAAGAAATTGTCACTTAATCATCCTTTTGTAAGTAGAAAAAAGAATGTTAATGAAGATCCTGTTCTACTGTCAACATGTGTTGACTGCTACAAGTCCAACAAGAACACATTGGAAAGCTCTTTTATAAGACCGATTTCAATAATCAAAATATGTATGAAGTGGACTTCATGAGGTATCGAAGACAGCAAGTAACGTTTCCAGCTCAATTAAATCAAGTCTCAGTAAACCCATTACCAATCAGAAAACAAAAGTTTAATGACTTCATTACCTTACTGCCTTTTTCCGTGAGTTTGTCCTGCACTTTATCAAAATTTAACACATAGCGATGTAGCCACAAACGATTACCCACAAGAAGATGAAGATGATATGGAGCCTCTTTAACAATTTTGAAACTTGTCGTCTATAATTTTACTTTATTTAACTTTTCTTAATTTAATTGTATATAACATTATAATATTTACCTCTAATAAAATAACAGTATAGGCTGTTTAGTGTATTTGTATTGTTTATTTCGTAGAGACCTTAACATGCAATGTCACATTATTTAAAAAAGTTATTAGAGGTAAACAACACTATATGTCCAACTACATATTTAAAAAAAAATTATAAAATGAACGGTAAACTTTAGGTACATAACACTTCATGAAAGGAAAAACGATTATACACACCACAATAATAATATATTAATCTTGGGTAAATATAAGAAACATTTGAGTATTTACTGATTAAAAATTTAAAAAATGTTAAAAACTGCTCTCCTGAAAAAGTAAGAAAATGGACATAGTGTCCTTTACCTCCGAGGTACGGAATTTGATTTTACATCCATATTTTCAGTTTAATGCGAAATATATGAAAAATTAATAGACAGAAAAAAATTATTCATATAGGTCAAAATTATTATTAAAACTTAATTAAACTAGAAAATCACTTTATATAAATTTGTACGTCAACAATTTTAAACTTCCAATGGCGCGTAGGAAGGCAAATATACTCGACCCACTTATTAGCGGTAATATTAAGTAGGTATACAAAATGGAACGGAGAAGAGGGATATTTAATTACTATCAATTTAAAAAATTAAAAACAACTTAACAGCATTCTGTGAAATAAGATAATTTTTATGCTTTAGAAGCGAATTTTCCCAGTTATCGCAAAGAACTTAAAGTTGATTAAAAATGGACAGTGACGATATGTCAACTGATGAATAAAGTAAAGGGTGAGACTTCCCAACCTGTTAAAGATGACCAATGAGAAAGGTCTAACAAATTTAACTAAATAAATAGAAAAAATTAAAAAAGGAAGTCAGAAACGAAATTAAAGAACTAAGATAGGAAAACGAAGACAAAAGAATGACGAAGAAAAAAGTAGGTTAGTGAAAGAAAAAAGGGGTAATAATATAAAAAACAAGAAATAGAAGTAAGCACCCAAGACCGAAACAAACTTACAATGGAAATAAACTACATTCATTTTACAATCCCAACTGTAAACAAGCGTACGTGAAAGCTAAACAGGATCGTACTGAGGTGTATCATATGATTTTCAAAAATATTTACTTTTGAAATCATTAGTGTAAGAATTTCTTGAAATTTAATCATTTAAAATTTAATGTTTAATTGAAGAAAAATGTGGTAAAATAAAATACTCATTAACTGAGAGATACATAACAAAGTGGACATTTTGAATAAAGTAGCATTGTCATAAGTTTATCGAAGCATAAAAACATACCATTTAAATTAATCAGAGTTCTGTGCTGCTGTCTTCGTCTGGATTTATTATTATGGGTTCGACATGGTTCTCTATTATATATTGTCCAACTTCCACATTTTGGACTCGACTTTTTGTTGAACGTGTTGCATACATTTCTGCCACGTAGTTGGACTAATATTATTTATTGCATCATAAAAAATATTTTTTATATCTTCAAATTCAAAAGTAGTGTTTTTGGGTGCTACATAATTGTTTACTTCTGCCCAGATGAGCTCAATCGGATTGAGCTCACAATGGTATAAGCGCAGCTTTAACA